AGCAGCCGATTCAATGTGAATGATAGAGCAAGCTTCAACTTTATTGAAAGAAATCACACCTTATATAAGCACTCTACAATAATCATGAATACTACTCACAAATCTATTGGATACAAGTAAAAAGGCTACATTATAATATCCCAGTCCCTTGTTGTATTTCAGGTATGTATAAACACCTTCCCTCTTCTGAATCTGTTTTTCTCCCAGGGCTGTTTTACTATGACCCCCAAGGTCATAATGTACCTCAGTTTCTCTCTTTGTTAAGATAACAGTCCTTTGTTAGCATAACTGTACCCTGGGTTTTTTCCTTTGTTTACCTCAGATGGCTGCAATTAGCTTCTGCAGAGACCCATGGCCTTGCTCTCTGCAAGCCGTTCTCCAACAATTCCCCCTTTTTGTGCAGGCTGCACAAGCATAAATTTACTAATATTTCTCATTATACAACTATATGCTATTTTAATAATTACTACAATCAATAATACTATTCCTAATTACTGCAATAAACTGTTAAAGGTACCCTATTAAGTACAAAGCATCCCATATTACCCATATTCAAGGGATATGACTAAATGCTACAAAATAAACAGTAAGCAAAGTATGGAAATTAATAGAATTAATTAATAGAAGTACTAACATTCAGATCCGCAATTGCTAGGGAACCCTGGATACAGCGAGAGCTTAGAGTGCCCTTCCTCACAAACTGGAAACCCTACATGATGCATCCATCCATCCGTAGGTGAGGCATCCAAAGTCGCTGCAAGCAGGTCCAGCCTTTAAAGCAACAGGCCAAAATAACTGGCAACTTTCTTTGAGCAGAAATATCTGATTCCATCCTCCTGTTGGGTTCCATCTGGAGCCTTGCCAGCACTCCAGGGGGAAAAACCAAGGGAGTTTCTAAATAAGGTTAAACACTTGAGCTCTTAATTCTTAATATTACTAAACAAAGTGGAATACACACATTCTTACAGCATCTTATCCTTATTAATAACTATATCTAAAGCACATCTTGCATAAGTGACTAGTAAGCTTATATATTTCATTAAGAATTTACAATTACTGTTAGCATTTTCTCTTAAAAGAATTGGCAACTGTAGTGTAGTTTGTTCTGTTGCAGTAGCAAACATTACTCAGACATTCTGCTTGAACCATCAGTCAAAGAGATCACAAACTGTCCATACAGGGGCACCCACAGCACCCACAGCTGGATCCTGAGTGCTGGCTGCCTCTCACGCCTCAGATGTGGTTGCACACACCTTGCCAGTGACCATTGGAGACTGAGACCTGTGGAGACACAAGCATAACCTCTTCCCTAGGTTATTAAACACAATGGTCCTTCCCAGTTACCCCTTTCTAGGTTTTGTTAACACTTGATCTTTACTTTGGACTTCTCGTTGATCTGGTATCTGTGATGAAAGACGACACAATATTGGTGACACCTGTAACACAGGGGAGATGTTTAAAAGGTTTGAAGAGATGGAGTCTTTCTGGTATTCAGGGCAAGTTGCAGTGATGTCTTTAGCTTGATGCCTTAATAAAGAAAACTGTTTTTTTGTATTGCTCTGGCATTCTGGTGGAAAAAATGCATGCGTTTTACAGCAGAGCAAATGGTTGACCTAGAGCCAAGACCTCTCCCCCCTTTTGTTTTTGCAAAAGTACTGTCAAGGTTTAGTGTGTTCTTTCTACAATAGCTTCTCCTGTGGGGGAATACAGTATACTTGAGATGCTTATCTGTTTGAGATGGTGTTGGCTATGCGGTGAAGATCTTGTTTTGACTTCTTTGTAAGTACTTTGGGTGATATCAGTGAAGGATCTTTTCATAAAACATCAAACAAGCTATGCAGATCATCATGAGGCCCATGAGGGCTGTATCTAATTTATGGTTCCTAACAGTGTCTGTAAATCTTTTAAAATCTTAATAACAGTTTTAAATTGTTGCAGGACAATACACACAGGTGATTCGGTTTACAAGGTTAGTGTCAGGGTGGGTTTCAGGGTGGTTCCGGTGCCGAGGGCGCAGTGCCGGGCTCAGCCGCAGGCGGCCGCTCCGCGGCGGGGAGGCTTTGCTCCACCAAGACACACACCTTACATCCCGAAACGGAGTCCTTTTAAAGTGCAGCCTTCATGAATATTTGCAAGTGGTCAACAACTTTTCCCGGGCTTTTCCTTCGCGGGGTTTTTGTTGCCAGGGGAGGTTCGCCGGCTTTCCACAGTGGGGGAGGAGGGGACGGCTCAGCACAGGTGTGCATGTATCCATAGTCCAGACATATCTGGACATAACACCATTTGGCCTGAAGACGGTGGCCATTTTAACTCCCTTTTAACAACTGATTTTAACCATAAAAACTATATACATAATGCTTTATTTCTTTTTAAACCTTAGGTTACATGTAAAGTGCAAAAACATTTAGAACCATAACACTGTCTGACCACAACAAAATTCAGTTACAATACAATCTGATGTTAACACAATTTTTGTATTTAATTTACTGAATAATATATTTAACCATAACTTGAGATTTGAATAACAAATATATAGGTTTTATTACAGGGTCTAAAAGATTATCACACCATTCTGCTTCTTCAAACAATAAATTTGGCTCTTTAAAGTGTCCCTTAGCCTTGCCCAGACCAATCAGCGTGGCTAAATTTTTATTGGACTTACTCCCCGCTTTTCTAAAAAGCAAAAAGTTTGAGGGTTACCTCTTATTCCTTGTTCCTGCCTGGGCAGACTTTTTTTAATTCCTTTCCTGTATCATAGCTTGATGACCTTCAGTAATATCCGATCAGTAGCTAACGACCAGTGCTGGCTTTTCCTAGGTTTCCCCAAATTCGGCCTTCAATTTATATGGCCTTTCCTTTGTAGCCCCCTCGGTTTGCAATATCTCCTGAAGCAATATTGTGGATCCGCTGCTCCAATATCAGACTTACAAATCCCGGCGCTTCAGGAGATGGCACACATCTTACTGCACCAGGCAGCGAACTTATCGCCTTCCTGCTCCGAAAATCCGTTCCGCCGCTTCCCGGGTTCCGTTCGGTGGAAAAGCAGAGTTTGGGTAACCCTGTTCGGTGCGCCACTTGCAGCGCGCGGAGGAAGCAAGCAGCTGATTCAATGTGAATGATAGAGCAAGCTTCAACTTTATTGAAAGAAATCACATCTTATATAAGCACTCTACAATAATCATGCATACTACTCACAAATCTATTGGATACAAGTAAAAAGGCTACATTATAATATCCCAGCCCCTTGTGGTATTTCAGGTATGCATAAACACCTTCCCTCTTCTGAACCTGTTTTTCTCCCAGGGCTGTTTTCTATCACCCCCAAGGTCATAATGTACCTCAGTTTCTCTATTTGTTAGGATAACAGTCCTCTGTTAGCATAACTGTACCCTGGGTTTTTTCCTTTGTTTACCTCAGATGGCTGCAATTAGCTTCTGCAGAGACCCATGGCCTTGCTCTCAGATCACAGGGAGATGCCCGTGTCACAGTGAGGGCGCAGCACTTGCTCATACCCAGGACACTGTGGGTCAGGTCCACCATTAATAATTCTAGATTAATCCCATTATTCCTTGTTCTCACAAGGTTTTGGTCAGAGGGAGTGCATCTGTGGCTTTCCCTCTAACATGGCCTGCCACTTTGCCCCCAAGAGGATCTGGAGCGCAAGCGTGTCACAGCGGCCCACCTGTGGCAGAGCGCTGAACACAGCCTGCCTGGAGCTCTGGGCACAGCTCCTTCTCGCTGACCAGTTCAGGGCACAGCCCAAATCAAGTGGGACACAGTCCCGCTCCACTGCTGGGCTCGGTGTCTGCTGGCAGCACAGCAGCAGTAGCACCAGGCCACAAAATGTGCCCATGCAGTTCCTACCCAGCTCCACCTCAGCCTTCATCTCCTGCCGGGCGGGCAGGGAAAGGCACTGTGACGTCACAGAGCCTTGCATGGCATCACCCTGTGACTTGTCCCATCGGCAACCATTGCAAGCACAGACACGGAGGTGGCCACTCAGTCTAGGCTGTCTCAGCCTGCACTCTGCTCAGGGTGACAGCCCCAGGCAGATCGTGCATCGACATTTTGTCCCTCAGGAGAGACTACGATGAGGCTCAGCCCACTTCTCTGCCTCACCATGGCTCTCTGCATGGTGTCTGTGTTCCCCTGTGCCAGAGACCTTTCCATCACCAACAGCTGGTTCACAGTCACAATTGAAGTCCATCTTGACGGACGCCAGAAGCTCTGCATGGCTGCCAGAAGGCTTGCCTCCATACTGATCAGCAGCATTGGCCTTCACAGACCCTGCAGCTGGGCCAAGTTCAGGAGACACGTCATCCCCCAGGACCTGCAACAAGCATTCCCTGTCAGCGAGAGCATGGCCGCCGAATGGCCCCTCAGCATTGGCCTTTGCAGCCCCCGTAGCTGGGTCAGGACCAGGATGCATGTCATCCCCCAGGACCCGAAGCAACAACCCACGGATACAAACGGGACGGCCTTGGAAATCGTGTCGCTGCTCTGCGTGGCTTGTATTGCACTTCTCATCGGGAGAAATGGGGAGAGACTCGAGCAACAGGTGAGCAACTGAGATCAGTCTCACAGGAAGGGACTGGCTTGAGGGAGCAGGGAACCACAACAGCTGGGGCCAAGAAGGCTTGCAGTGCAAAAACCAAACCTGGTGTGGGCCCCGAGCAGGCCCTGAGAGGTCCTCTGCCTCTTGGCCAGGGACATGCCAAGCCACAGGGCTGAAGCCCTCCGGGAGCCCCCAGCACGACACGGGGCCTGCCAGAGGCTTCCTCAGCCCAACGTGCTGCCCGGAGCAGTCCTGCGAGGCTGGAGTCCTTCCAGAGGAAGACAAGCCCAGCAGGACACTGCAAGGTCCCCCCAAGCCCCTGCCCGCTTAATTGTGCTCCCGGCCTTGTCATTTCCAGGGAAGGGGACAGAAGGACCCATCTTCCAAGTGGATAGACTGCATAGGAAAGGACACAATCTTTGAAGTATCCTTGCACTGCTGTATTCACTACAACATCTTACGGCTAGTCAAGTGTGGGAACCTTTTAAAACGTGTTCGCATGAAAAGGTTCCGGCGCCGGTACTACGAGAAGGTGGCACAAGCAGCAGATGAGGAGAGCTGAGTCTAGATCCCTGCGCAACCCCAGCTAAAGCGTGCGCCTGGCGGACTGGCAACACAAAAGGCAGCGGTGCAAGTGAGTGCTGCTGTGCATGTGGGGTGAGACCCGAGGCAGGAGTCAAACGGCATCTGTGGCTGTGGCTGTGAGGTGCCCCAGGGGTGCCCATGGCCCAGGAGGAGGGGCCCACATCCTGGCAGGGGGCCCACGTCCCCTGAGGTTCCCAGTGGGTGCCCACGTTCCAGTGAGGGGTGCGGTGCTTGCTCCCCATGGCCCTGGGAGCTGGCAGTGGCCAGCACCTGCCCATGACCCATTGGCTTCCCCAGGCCCTAGGACCCCCAAGGCTGGGGCGAGGGCAAGCACCACACCAGGGAGAGGGGCAGGTGTTAGGACGTGGGTGGATAACGATTGCAGCTGTATCATTTGCATCCAACTAACAGGGAATTCTCTTCAGGGCTACAACTGGCTGCTGCGGCAGGACACGCCTCGGCCCTCCAAAGGCTCCTGGGGTGAGGGCACCCCCGCCGCCGACATCCTTTCTGCTGGCTGGAGGCTGTTATGGCCCCAATGATCCTGTTCCTGCAGGGTGGCCATGGCCGAGGCTTGGCCTCGTCCTGCTGGGTTTGCTTTGCCATTGCCCACCCTGCACAACAGCCAGTGGGCATTTGGCAACGCTCTGGTGAGGACCTCTAGGGAGGGTCTCCCTTTCTGCCCTCCCAGAGGTGCTGCCTGGGCCCCCGGCACCCCAAAGGCCCGACCTCATCTCCATGTCCCCAGGGAGCTCAGTTGAAGCATGCCCAGGCAGCAGAGAGCTCTGCGAAAGCCGGCAAAACTCCTGAGCGGAGCAGAGTACTTTCTCAGCTTTCTAGAACCGGTCAGAACAATAAAGATTATTGTCCTGTAGCGCGTGTCGTTCGGTACTGACGGCATCCAAGGAAGGCAGTGGTGCGAGCCAAGCTGCCGAGTGTGGGCTGGCGCAGCATGCACCCTGGGAGAAGTGGGAGAGCTGTGGTGGGAGAGAACAGGCATCGTGGCTGCGAGGTGCCCTGCGGATGCCCAGGTTCCAGGAGGAGGGACCCGCATGCGCGCAGGGTGCCCATGTTTGGCGGGGTTCCCAAGGGAGGCCCATGTCCCCATAAGGTGCCACATGGGTACCCATGTCCCCGTGAGGTGGCAGCGGCCGCTGCGTGCCCAGGGGCCCACAGGTCATGGCCCTCCACAAATAGTTCTAGGCTAATCCCACTCCTCAGGTGCTTTTAACAAATTAAACATAACGTGAGACCAAAGGACACATATAGGATTCACTCAGGCCTCGGAGGAAGCAGCCAATGATGAAGGCAACACCAACCACAAGGGATCACGGGCCTGCCATCCAGCAGCAGCAGCCCTGGTCTAAATGCCACCTAAGTTCCCAGGCACGCAGGACCCCTTTAAAGAAAACTGGGTATGTGTCAAGCTTGCCCACGCTAATGGCCACTTGCCGCACAATAGGGCACACTAAGAGTTTGGAGACAGGGGCACAGTTCACAGGGACTGGTACAATTCCCTAATGGCACAGAGCACAGGCGTCCAACACTGGCCTGCACAGCCACCCCGCCAGGGTCACGGCTGTGAGGTACATGGCGAGTGAAATGTGCCAAGAGGAGCAGCCCACGTCCCGGCAGGGTACGGTATTCCGCTGAGGATCACAGGGAGATGCCCATGTCACAGTGAGGGCGCAGCACTTGCTCATACCCAGGACACTGTGGGTCAGGTCCACCATGACTAATTCTAGATTAATCCCATTATTCCTTGTTCTC